AACATATCACTTCAAACCCAACCCAAACCCAACCCATATTTCATAAAAAGTCAAAAAGTGCACTTATTTAGTCTTCCCAAACTAGGCCAGAATATAACTACGACAATTGATAATTTTAAAAAATTATACTATCAAACGATAATTTTTTAATTTTTTTTAAGTGTAATTATTACACTATAAAAAAAAAAGGAAGAATTATTCATTACAAAATATTCAAACTTTTTGCAAAATCAAAAAAAATAAATTCAAACTAGGCATATCCTCGGTCCAGCTTGGAACACCGGATAAGTGTATGGGTCCCTTGCCACGAAGCTCCACTTTCCGGCCGCCTCGTCTCTCTTTTCCAACCACCTCTCTGGCCGGAACTCTGCCCAGTCCCTCCCCCACAACTTCTCCGATCTCCCCATTGCGTATGGATGGTAAGCCACCCTCGTACCTTTCTTGATTACCGTCCCATCCGGCAACACGTCGTCATCTATCGCTTCTTTTGAGTCAATGGGGACTGGCGGATATAGTCTCATGCTCTCGCTCAACGATGCGTGCGTGTAAACCATGTCCTTCACTTCCTCAAAACTCGCATCTTCCAACTTTTCATTGATCTCTTTCAGAATCTCATTTTCCACATCTGGGTGTCTCGAGATTAGCCAGAAGAACCACGTCAAGGCCGCCGATGTGGTGTCGCGACCTGCCAATATGAAGCTGATGACTATGTCGGTGACGAAGTTTACATCTGAATGTCCGGAACTCAAGAATCGTGATAAAAGATCAACAGATTCGAGTGATGAGTTTTCAACGAGTTCTTGCTTCTTTTCTTTGACTTTTTCTCTGGCGAATTCCCGAACTTCATTGACAGAAATTCGAAGCTGTTTCTCAGAGCCAATGTCGAGAAGCCGTTTAGTTTTCCAAATCAGGGGATGAAAGGCTCTGAACCTTTTACCGCTGATTCGAACAGCAGTTTCGAAGGCTACCGCGAATTTTTCTTGAGGAAGAGATGGCAGCAAATAGGCAGGATCGTGTCCGAAAGAAATCTTGCATATGTTGTCAAATCCGAATCTCTGAAGAATATCCTGAAGATCAAGCACAGTTTTGTTCGCAGCGGCGGTGGAGAAGATAGGAATGAGGCGATCTGAGAGCTCAGTGGCGACAACAGTTTCGACAAATTTGCGTAAAAATTTGGTGTTGAATTCATGGCTAGCAACTTGTCTCTGGAACTTCCAGTTCTCACCGTCGACACTAAAGATGCCATCGCCAAGTAGGTCGAAGATGTGTGCTCGAAAGATTTCGCCTTTTTGGTAGATATGGAAATGGGTCTTGAGAATGTGCTGAACATTTGAAGGATTGGCAGTGAAGACGCGGCGGCGGCCCAAAGGGCGGTGAAGGACGAAGGTGGAAGTGGATGTGCTGGTCACAATATCTGATGTCCATTGAATGAGTCGGGTTCGATTTGCATAGATTGAGAGGAAGGAGCCGATAAGTGGGTATGATCTTGGAATCTCGGCGGACTCGTTGGAGGAACAAAAGCTTGTGAAAATAGACTTGGAATTGAAGAGGAAGAAGAAGTAGAACAGTAAGGACAAAAGGCAAAGGAGCAAAGAAGTTGAGAGCTCAAAGTCTAACATGGCTGCTGTGAATGTGATGACCCAAAAACAAGGAAGGTTTGTTAGGCTGAAAACAGATGTGACGCGGGATTTATAGAAAATAAAAATAAAAGTTAATGTGTGGGTTTGATTTGAATTTTTTGAATTAAGTTTTTTTTTAAATTAATTTTTTTATTTTTTGTATTTTTTTTATTTTTAGTAAATATTTTTAAATTTTAAATATTTTGTTTTTTACTTTTTTAGATGTATCTAAAAAAGTAAAATATTTTTGAAAAATATTTTAAAAAATTAATAAATTCATAAAAATATGAAAAATATACTGAATTTTCATTTTTTTTATATTTTTGGTATTAAAAGAATATTTAAAATATTTTTTTACAAAATTTATATTTTTTATGTGTATTTATGTTAGATGTGTCTAAAAATTAAAAAAAAATTGTTTAAATTATTAAAAAATTCAATAAAAACAAAAAAAATATAGAAAGAAAAGAAAGTAAAATGTTTTTAAAAGTGTTTTTGAAAAGCCAAAATTTATTCTGAAAATTTAATTTAAGAATTTAGGAAAAAATTTCCGTGTAAGAATTTATGATTTTACTTTTTTGATGTTTATAAAATTTGTAACTACTTTAAAAATATTTTTTTTAAACATACTTGGATGTAAAAAAAATTCAAAAATTTATTCCATTATTTCGCAATAATAATTTTGATTATACACCGTGGATGTAATATTTTGAAACAATTTTTAAAAAGTAATGTTACAGATTTTAAAAAATTTATCAAAATTTTTATTAAATATATGTGGAATACACATAATATAAATTTTATATAGTCTCGTATCCATGTAAAATATTTGTTAATAAAAATTTTAAGATTTTTAACGTTTTTTATTTCTGAATTTCTTCTTCCCCGTAGACTTTTCCAATTTCTGAATTTTTTCTTCTCCATAGACTTTTCCAAAGGGAGCAGGTTGCCTTCACTCCGAGATAAGGTTGGACGGTGTTGTTCAGTCCATGAGAGCTCATTACGGATCTGTTTTTGATAATTTAAATTGTTCAATATGTATAAATTGTTGAGTACTATATATTTGTAAAAAATTAAGTTAATCAGATATCGATAGCTATGTGAATAAATTAATTTTGTATAAAAAAATAAATGATAAATAAATTAACAGTTAACAAAAAATTAATCCAATTAAATAATTATTGATAATCAATTAATATAATTTTTTATAAGTATATAATGCTCCACAAATTTTACCTATTAAATGATTTTAATTATTAAAACATAATGAGTGATAAGTAGGGCTGAGCAAGGAATTCGTGAAATCTGTAATCCGATCCAATCCAGTTCAATCCGGTAGGTTTGGATTGGTTTTTTGAATCCATGGTTCGGTTCCGGATTGAAAAATTAAAAATCCGTAGTTAACGGATTGGTTCAAGATTGAATCCCACGGTTCCGGATTGGAACCGATCCGGACCGTATACAAATAGTCTATATTTTTATTATACACCCTCTTGCATAGTATCTTATCTTATTTCATATAAAACTTAAATCCAAACCTAAACTCGAATAGTATCTTCTTTTACTACTTTTATTTGCTAGTTTTTAACGTTAATTTGTAATGGTCTAAATACTTATGGTGGAACTAGTTTTCTTATAATTGTTTAAATTCTAGAACAATATGTCGTTATTATGAAAAGGCATGTTGCTATTGTAAAACTAATATGGTGTTATATTTATATTTTTATGAAAAGTGTTATATATTTTTTTTTATTATTTAATTATGTAAATCTGTGGTCCTAAACCAATCCAATCCGTGTTTAAATGGATTGGTTCAGATTGGTTCCACGATTTAAACGGATTGGATTGGTTCCAATTTTTCAGGAACCATAGATAACAGATTGGTCCTGGTTTTACCCCAATCCGGTCCAATCCGGACGATGCTCACCCTTAGTTAGAAAACATGTGTTTCCGCCCTCCAATTTATCCACACAAAAAAAAAATGTGTTTATTTGAGACTTACAATACATTTTTTTTTTATCTGCAAAAATCTATAATGATAAAAGAAACATACAATTCATATGCAATTACATCAATAAAGAGATGGAAATGCCAAAGCATCAAAGCGAACTACCCCAATCCCAACTAGGTTGGCACCAAAATGAACGTCCAATCGTTTAGCACAACCACAAAAAATTGGTGAGAAACCAACACAACACCAAGGAAAAAAATAAAGACCACACAGCAGCCACAACACGCCACACCAAACAGCTACAATCAGCAACCCAACTCTATCTTAGAGGCAGTACTTCACTTGCTGGAGGTTATACACTATAGCATTCACAGAGTAATTAAAAGAGGGGGAAGAAGATCTGAACCATAACGCAATCCTGATTTTGATAGCATCACACAACTCTTCAAAGTCCACCTGAGAGCCATTAAAGATACTGTCATTACGCTGCCTCCAAATAGACCAGAGTACTACCAACGGAATAATGTTCCAAAGCACCATTTCCTTTTTATTGAGTTTTGTACCAGCCCACCAAAGAAAAAGGCTACCTACAGACCTAGGTATTGCCCATTTTACTCCCCACCAATCCAAAATTTTGGACCAAATTCTCCAGGTAAAAAGGCAGAACAGCAACACATGATTAACAGTCTCCAAACCATTATTACAGAAGATACAGTTCATATTTGACCTTCTACTAAGAACACCAAGCCTTTAAAGAAAGCAGGATGTCTTAATCCTCCCTTTCCATGATAACCAACCAAAAAACTGAACCCTTGGTGGAGTCACATTCTTCCAAATGAACCCAGCTACTGTGCTAATAACCTTAGAAGATAAAACATTCCAGTTATAGGCAGAGGCAACAGTGTATAAACCATATTTATTTGCCTTCCATTTGATACTGTCCAACCTACCAAACCTAAGCACTGGTGCATTGAATAAAAATAAATTCAGCCTCCCCAACTCCTTCACTTCCCACTGAAACAAAACTCTTCTGAAGTTAAGCCTCCATTCTTGAATACCAATTCCCCTGCTTCTCACCCCTGCCACGGTCTCAGTTTTGTCCAGAGACATAGAAAATAATCTGGGAAATTCATCTTTTAAACAGGTATTCCCAACCCAAATGTCAATCCAAAACTTTGTTCTCCTGCCATCACCAATGTCCATAACTATGTTTTGCTTGAAAAAATTCACCAACTCACGACACAAGCCAGCAACACCTACAATATCTCTCCAGATCATAGACAGCTTGTTATTCTCAACAGGTAAAGGCCACCATCCTCTACCAACCTCTAGGTATTTACTGCATATCACTTGTTTCCAAAGTGCATTATCTTCAATTCCAAATCTCCACCACCATTTCAACAGAAGACAGTTATTCCAAAGTCTAACTTTTCTAATTCCTAAACCCCCTTGACTTTTACTTTGAGTGATCTCTAGGTTGAATTTTCTCAAACTCATTTGCAACCCCTTTTAGCATCTTAAACAAAGATAAGTAATAAACTAGTAAAGAAGATAACACAGACTTGATCAATGTCAACCTACCTGCAAATGATAGGAATCTCCTTTTCCAAGAAGCCAATCTTTGTTTACATTTGTCAAGCACTGGTTGCCAAGTCCTTCTTCTCCTTGGATTAGCTTCCAGAGGTAAACCCAAATATTTGAGTGGCAATTTTTGATGCAAACAATTCAGTTTAGCAGCAAGGTCTACAAGAGACTCTTCATTAATCCCAACCCCACTGACTACACTCTTGTGGTAGTTAATCTTGAGCCCGGACAGAATTTCAAAACATCTCAATATCCTTTTTATTGTGACTACCTCTTCCCAGTCAGCTTCACAGAACAATATTGTGTCATCAGCAAATTGCAAGTGGGTTATCTTCATACCAATAGAACCAACAGCTGCCCCTTTAATCAAACCCATTTGTAATGCTCTGCTCAACAGGATGTTTAAACCCTCAGCCACAATGTTAAAAAGGAATGGTGATAGTGGATCACCCTGTCTAAGCCCTCTCAAAGGCTTGAATTCAACTGTTGGTGATCCTTTTACCAAAATAGAGATATGTGTTGAAGACACACACTCTTTTATCCAACTAATCCATTTAGAACCAAACCCAAAGTTATACAACATAGAGAAAAGAAACCCCCAATTTATTGAGTCAT